AATTTAAAAAGATGACCACGATTCCACGCGTGTAAACCTGAAGTGTTTCGCAGGTGTTGCCGTGGCTGCTTCGGTCTTCACCATAACGGCGATGAGTATTGACAGGTACCTGGCGATAAGCAGCCCCATCGCGTTCCGACGCGTGTTCAATCGCAAAAGCACTGTCCTCGTTATCGTGGCTCTATGGTTGGTCGCTCTAATCATCTTCGCACCCCTTTTAAGCGCGGTTAGTATGAAGATTCGATATAATCACGTACGCTGTCGTTTATAAGTACATGGACGCTCCCTCGGTTGCAAAATCAATTTTAATTTAAGTCACGGTATTTCATAATAATTAATAAATGTTGTAAAAACCGAGTGTCTACGTGCTTATGGATAGGGGCGTATGCATTTTCTTCTCTCGTTGTCCGCGGGACGATTTTACTCCGGGCAAACTGTCGGCTGTAAATATCCGAACGATGAAGAATGACTTCTGCCGATGGCTGGTTTCATTAATATTCGGATTGACGTCTTCGGTTGTCTCTCTTCCGTCTCCTATTTATTCGTCGATGCGAGGGATATTGCCTCCTTTTTTCCGTTCAACTCGACCTCTTTCTCGCGCCGACGTTAAATTGAATTAAAATCCGATGAGTCATCGGCTGGCACCGCTGTCGGCTCTCGTTATTCCGGAAAACAAGTGACATTTGTCCTGCTTTCCACGTGGAACGTGGGATCATTGTATCGTTGAAAAATAAATATCTCTCGTCTCCGCCGGACGATCCTCTCTCCGATGCTGAACATCATTAGTCACTTTTCCCATTTATTGTGATATTAAATTCTTCAATTTCGCTCTTCGCCGGGAAGAGCTATTTTTCCTGAACTCCTACAAGAATTTCCACTCCTTGCGATCCGACTTCTGAACATGACTCGATTACGCTCACCGGGACAATTTCCTTTCCTCTTATTATCCCCGACGAAACGGGATTTATACATCTCGTTCTTTCCACGACGGTCGAATAATTATGAGAGATGATCGGAGAATCCGTGAGAGCAGCGGAAGAATGGGAAGGGGACGGTGAAGATAGCCAGAGGAATCTTGCCGACGGACATAAATCTTCTCGCTTCTCGTGGACAGTTCGACGGATGAGTGCCGTCCGATATTTTTTTCCAGATGACCCTCCAGAGCCCGAGTATGGATTTTAACAACATAACCGTCAACAGATCCTGGATAGATACCTGGAATACATCACAATCACAGAACTGGATCGAGATGTCGCAGAACTTATCGCGGGTCACCCGATTGCCGCCGGCCTTTTACATCTGCTCGGAAAACTTTGAAACGCCGCTCTTCGGCATGGTGTGCTTCGTCCTGGTTTACGCGATCCCGGGTAAGCTTTGATTAACACCAATCTCGTCCTCGCCATACGTCATCGCGACGTTATTCGAAAGAGGGAAGCCCTACGATTTGTCTTTACCGTTCCATTTCCGTCATCCTCAGAGGATTAATCGGTTCACCCTCATTTATTTTCTTCACCCTTTATGATTGTCCCTCGGTACCGGTGCTCCTCAGGATTCGTCGTCATAACATCGTACTCTATGATGGGTCGGACGCTTTGCGCACGTAAACCACCTTTCGATTGCGACAGCGTCCAAGGAAGTGCCAGCTCTCAGCAAGTTAGTAGAGAACATACTGATGACGTTCGTTCGGTACTAGGGATGGGATCTACTTCATTATATTGAATTAAGTGATTGCGGATTTTAAATAAGAATTCTATCGACAAATTCCGCAATTATTTAGTTGCCAATCCAATATATTTGCGAATTCGAGTCAACAACCAAGTTTCATTTTATGAATTTCGATTAGTACTCAAACGCAATAATGTTTCATAATCATGATTACACTTGAAAGGTATTCATTTTGTACAAATCTGATATCGAACTTCGGAATGATTACTTACAAGTTTCGAAAGGATACTTATAAGTACCTCGACGTTGGAAGGAAAGATCGGAGAATTTCTGATAGGATACTCATAAAAGTTTCGAATCTGTTCGACCAAGGCTCGAGCATACTTACAAGTACCACTTCCATTTACCAAAGTACTTGTGGATGGTTCCAAAGTGTTTAGTATAGGTTCGACTATGCTTAGCAATTCTGTTTCTATCTCGTACTTATAGAGAGTTCGAATTCAATCGATCGATTACGAGATACTCGATCCCATCCCTAATTATTATTCTACACTTCTACTTACTTTTAAGGATGTATTGGCTATACAGTCAATCCCAAAAGTTTATGCACTTTAGAAACACATTTCTTAAAAAGAAATCAGACGTCGGAAGAACATTGCTAATAATAAACAACAA